TATTTGTAGCAATATACTTGTTCTTAATAGTTCTCTAACGTCATACATAACGTAGTTATGACTGGAAATATTGGTTTATGTGACGTACGAGACGTTATAAGATAAGAATAATTATTGCGTACTCGTATATTTATTTATGTATATTTGTCATTGAGGGTGAAAGCAAAAATACAAATGTGACCTCAATCTTTACAACTGGGGTCTTTACGATCGAGCATCTACTGCGCCTAAGAATTATTGTAATTAGATCCCATTTGAACTGGGAACCCTCAATAGGAGCCGTTGAAGCGATGGCCATTCTAGACGTGTTTAGTCCGCTTTATTTTCGCACAGGTCAGTTATTTAGCATAATACTAGTCCCACAATGGGGCCGGTTGTCATAGAGCTCTCCCTTCGATCAGGGGCGCGACAGGTGCACGGCCAGTCCCACGATGGACCGCGGTCTGCGACTTCGGACCCTCTACCAAGATACTCACTAACGATCTTAGAATATCGATATGCTAGTTTTAATTTTATTGATTATTGATCTTTAAATTTTTGTGGCCAAATGTTTGTCTCGAAGCGCTGGTAGGGCAAAAAAAGAATGAGATATGTTATGATATGATAGGTTCCTTAAGAGCATTTGACGATTTGTAAGTACTAATTTAATTAGTCTACACAAATAATGATAATTTTGATTTTTGATTTTTAAACTTATCATTGTAATTTATCGTCGCTTACTCAATTACAACTGCTTGAAAACTTGGATCATTTGAATGCATAAAAGTTTTTTCAGATCAAGAAGGTAATAATTTTAAATATGTATTTTTTCAGATAAAGACCAAATTTTCTTTCAGGCACAACTGTGTTAACTTGTAAATTGGTTTATTTTGTGTCAAAAATACCCCATAGTATTCAAATCTGTACCTGTTATTGGCACATCAAATGCGATTCTGTTTCTCCGAAATCGCGTTCGTGGTACACGGTCGGCCTGCGGACGGTTCTAAATTATTAAACCCGTACGGCAGATGAATGGCCGATTTAATCCACTGGACGTTTCGCATGCCCTGCCAATCGCCATTTACATAAGACTCTCCCCTTTCCCACGGAGTCACTTGTTTCGTTTTAATAATTCTGCACCCCAAATGCCCAATAGATTATTGACACCATTCCCTAATAATTCGAAATCACAACTTTTTTAAAAAGACTTCATTCTGGTCTTAAAAACCTAATTAATTTCAAATTACCTGTAAATTAAAAGATTTTTGGTTGTATTATAATTGAAAAAGTAGTTTAATTGAGTTGACAAAATAGTGACGTCACTTGCTTGTTTTGCCATACAAAGTCGTTTTGACAGTTTTAAAAAGTACGTCAATTGATTGGTGGTGTCAACACGTCTATTGTCTATTCGAATTTGCCTGAGGGTTTTCGCGAATGAAAGATCCGCTAGATGGCGAGACGTGGATGTGGGGTCTGACTGCTGCGTGATTGGTGGATTTTGACATATCTGTCAATGTCATGTCAACAATAACCAATCGTGCAGCATTTGGACCTCGCATCTACGTATTGCCATCTGGCGGATATTTCATACGCAAAAACCCTCATTGAGGTCTCCGAGATAAATTGCAAGCTCATAGTTTAAAGTTTCATCATTCAATTAATTCGAACGCGAATTATTCAAACAACTTCCAACACGAATGAAGAGTTGAACATGTTTTGTGTAGAATTTGTTTGCCAACGATAAAGTTTTGGATTGATCTGCAAATAATACTTAGTGTGAAAGTAGAAGCAAATGTTTTATTGAAATGGGAACTGGTCTTGATTACATTACAAGCTTTAATCTAAATATATAGAGAAACTGACTGACTGACTGACAGATCAACGCACAGCCTAAACGGCTAAACGTAGGCACTTGAAATTTGGAAGGGACGTAGCTTAGGTACCGTAGAGGTGCACTAAGAAAGGAATTCCCGAAATTCCCACGGGAACGGGAATTAGCGGGAAAAACGGGATTCACGCGTACAAAGTCGCGGGCGGCCGCTAGTTAAAATTAATGTTTTAGTGAGAAAGAAACACTTTTGCTTTATGTTTGCGAGGTTCGGTGAGAGATTCCTTGATAGATAGGTAAAGGCATGTTTTGACTAAAAGTCTATCGATCACTAATCACCCCCTGATAGTTATTTTGAAAATATATTTTATGTATAGAATTGACCTCTTTACAGTCTACCCTGTAAGTGCCTATTCACTCTCACCTTGAAAAGTCTGTCTCAGTCGCCACTCGTAATCGCCCACATCCTGCCACAAGTATTAAGTGATTATATTTAGCATTGTACCTATGCAGTTAGCAAGCAAGAAAATTTGAGTAACTTCGACCTTGGCTTTATTTCACTTGGATCTGCAGGCAAAAAGTTATGATACCAGATTAAACAAAGTATTATTTTTTCCAACAAGTTTCCGATTCGCTTCATTACTTTGAGAAATAAAAATCTGTGCTTTTGTGCCAACAATTTCGGTGTAACATCAATACAGAGGGTTGTATTCGAAAAATATTTGTTGTCTGAATAACTGGAATTCCAATAACTGGTTGAGCTTACAGAGTTTGTTTTCACTGTAAAATGCACTGATATCGATACAAAAATGTACGGATGTAGTTACTACAAAAGCGCACCGTGCTAGCGATGGAATGCCAACAATTCGGAATGTTACGGATTTATATTTTAAAGGAATGTGAACTTTGTTCAATGAACATCATGTATTCGAAAATGTTGTCATTAATAATTTTTGGATTCGTTATTAGGAGTTAAAATGTTTTTGAAATATTAATATTGTTTAATACCTGCATAAATAATTAAAATGATCAAAGTAAAAAATCATGTAATTTTATTTATTTTCTTATTGTATAAAACTGATCGAAAGAGCGGGCGTCTTCTAATACAGGTTTTCTAAACTTAAAAGGAGACACCCAACCCTTGTAAATGTGTCTTATAAGAAAATAAAGAAATTTTGAATTTTGAATTTTGAAATGATCAAATATTTGGCCATCCCAAAATACAGGACTTGCATATTTGAGTGAGTTATTGAGCAATGAATATATTCAGTATAGTCGAAAGCTTAAACAACCAGCAAACCGCTTACGTACTTACTACGAGAGTCAGACGGAGGATTTGCTACGTCGGCTACGAGTTAGTGGGAGTTGGACTACGTCGTAGCACTTACTATGCTACGAACACGATACACGTAAGTGTAAGCGTACACTTTGTTGTTTCGGCTTGCTACGAACTTAGTGTCAGGCCGTTTTCATCTCGGTCGATACTACTAAAGCCTTGGTTGCTCGAATAGGCTTTGATATCGTATATCAAATATGATATCTATATTTATGTACATCTATTTCATTGCGTTTATTTATCATTTATCTATAATAGTCCTCTTCGTTCACATCGGTTTGGCGAAATAACAAAACGATGGGCCGCGTAGCATTAAATAGAAGTACGAGTACATACATATTTCTGTATACCCGGTGAATGTGTTGTTAGAACACTGACACTCATAGTTAAGGCATTTTTATGGCCGTGTCATTATTTTATTCATACTCGAATTTGGTATCAATTTAGTAGTTTATGGCCATTGGTGATGTGGTCGTAAAATGTGGGAAAAACAAGGGATAGTGGCGCCTATTCGTCGCACTTTTGATCCGAGATTAGAATACAAAACTATTGGTAAATGTTGTTTTGTAAACATCGATGCAGAGTGAATTTGAACTTATGTATCCTTTGAAAGTAGATAATATACTTTTGATGTTAAAGCAAATACCTATTATAGTCCAGTCAATAAAGCATTATAGATGGAAAACTGTAGAACACAATTTCTGACTTCAGGACTTTATTTAGACTAGTTAGGAGGTGAACATAGCAAAAGTCCCCGCCCTTAGCCCTTGAGCCGGCGGGGAGAGGGGGGTTTAAAGGTGCCACTTTTCGGTTTTTCGCTTAATCCTTGGAAACTATGCGTCCTAGTGACATGACTACTATGAACCAAAAAAAGCATATTCAATTTGCTACAGATATTTATGAAATTTGAAACTGATGTATATCTTGCAAGTCTCAACACATGAGCCAAATTTGAAGTGTTAATGCACAGTAGTTTTTGAGTGATGAGGAGTCAAAAGTGGCTCAAAGTGATTCGTCTAAATATACGCACGGTGTAGTCCCCTCGCTGGAACTAGGCTTAACATGCTCCTGCATGTCTAGAATGATTGCTCAATGTTGATTTAGTCGATTTTCTCCTGATGGGAACATGTAAGACAAAAATAAAATTTCCAATATTACAGACCTTCTAGAGCAGATGCCGCGAAAACTATACAATTTATAGAAAAACTTGTTTATCTCATCTGTAGCAAATTGAATATGCTTTTTTTGGTTCAAAGTAGTCATGTCACTAGGACGCATAGTTTCCAAGGATTAAGCGAAAAACCGAAAAGTGGCACCTTTAAACCCCCCTCTCCCCGCCGGCTCAAGGGCTAAGGGCGGGGACTTTTGCTATGTTCACCTCCTAACTAGTCTAAATAAAGTCCTGAAGTCAGAAATTGTGTTCTACAGTTTTCCATCTATAATGCTTTATTGACTGGACTATTATACTTGGGACAAAAATAGAAATTAAGGAAAAACGGCAAACGTTATCCAAATAAAGATTTTTTTGCGGTATAAACAAGTAGGTAGGTACTTTTAGATTTAAAAGGTATTTTTTGAACTCTTTTAACTGTTTTGTATAGTATGCGTCTAGCCCCCTTATTAATAAAAATTACACCTAGTATGAACTCTGAATTAAAATGTCATTTCCATACTAAATGACAATTTAAGCCAGAGTTCAACTAGGGTGTAACTTTTATTAATAAGGGGGTAGATGTGATCGCTCGCCTCACGAGTCTTGTAAACTTGGTAATTTTTATAGAATGAGTTATCGAAAATCTTTTGACTTTCATTCTCGATAGCCAAAATCTTGATAAGCCGTCTGTAATGGACACTCACCCTATGGCTGGCGGAGGAGCATGACCTTGGCCTGGACTTGGTGGGCTTGGGCTTGGCGGGCGGCGTGGGCGGCGCGGGCGGCGTGCAGGGCGGGCTGCTGTCGCTGCCGCCCGCGCTCGCACTTGACTTCTCCGAGCCGGAGTTGCTTGACTGTGAACAGAAATTTTTTACAATTTGGGTAGTTGACACCAAACACTTCAAGACACATCTTAAATATATATAACTCAAAGGTGACTGACTGACTGACTGACAGCAATATAATTACACGCGAGCGATAAGGATGGGTAGCTTGGGGTCATTGGACAAAATTCTACGTGCTCACAGACCAGACTATAGATGTTATGACGTAGGCAGCCGCTAAGAAAGGATTTTACGAAACTCCACCCCTAAGTGGGTAAAACGGGATCCACACGTACGAAGTCGCGGGCGGCCTCTAGTCTTCTATAAAAGTACTTTATTTTAGACCAAAACCGAGTTAGTTATCAATTGGCTGTAGAAGTCTATATTGTGGTTTTGAAATCAACTGAAGTATAAAATATTTCTTTAATTTAAAAATACGATTATAGAAGTGGAGCCGTCGCCACAGAATAATAATAAGTACTACGCCATCAAGTGAAAGGCTGTAAATTTAATTTAGCTTGTCATGTGCCAAACTAATTTCATAAATTCAGGACGAATGACGTGTTTCGCAGAAAATTTGAATTAGAATTTTGTAAAAATTGTGAGCGTTTGCCCTGCCACTCCTGCCAGTCGCTACCAACCGTTTTCACTTCTAAAATAAATGCGAGAAAAGCGTCTAACCTGGTAAAAAAATCATTACCTACATAAATTCATCATTAACACCGCTGCCAATAACGCTATGCTATTCTTGATTTTGTCAATCCAACAACCCAAAAACTCGCTGAGCAAGTGTTCTTGTTTGGATATGTAGATGCAAATCGGTTCGAACCCGCGAATTAAAAACTTGCGCGTCCGCGGAGTGTTTGCGGCGCCGCGGCGGGTCGGATCGGGGCGGAACACGCCCGGTTCATTCATAAACTTTTTTGGCAAAACATTTGCTTTCGTCCGTGGTTTTCGTGCGAGCGATGAGATTCAAATATACCTACGTACGTAGGTGATATTACCTAGTCTGCAACAATTACAGTCATAGAATTGTATCAGAATAACAATATTGACAATGTAATTAATCTTTTGAGATAGGTTTGTGAAAATTACCCTGAATAACGGCGTCGAGAATTTAAAGTAAATAAAAGCATTTGTAAATCGAAGAAATGTAAGTAAAGGCGTTCCTAAAGTAGCCTTACACTTATTCGGATTCACTTTTGAAATGTGAAGCTCGCTTCCACCTTCATTCAGCCTGATCATCAGGTCATTGCTTTCCATCAGGTAAGATGCTGGCTAAAAGAAAAGTCCCTATTTGTTGTGGATAAAAAATAATATGTTAAAATAAAAGTAACTTTTCAATTGAAATACAGCTTGAAGACCAATAATGTTTGTACTCGTAATGTATCTTTTAAAGAGAAAACTCAAAGGTTACTTTTAAACAACGCGCGTAATTGGTGTTAATCGCTCCACCCAACCAGTTCCATCACGCAATCAGGCCGCGGCTTAAACCGTGTAAAAAGTGCGCATCGCAGATTTGGCTAATTGCTTAATTAATAAGGGCTGGCCATTACACAGGTGGAACCGAGTCAGGGACACTTAGCGGGATAACAAGGGAGATTAAAGACCTGCCTTGTATGAAAATTAAGTCTATCTTTTAATTGGATTATTCAGTTTCTGTCATGTTTTGGGTCAGTATTCGAATATGGATTTAACTAGTAGTCTTTGAGTTAGTAACATTTACTGAGCTCTACAATGAGTCGATCATTGATGATATATAAAATTAATGGTTCTCGTGTAGAACTGTCCAATAGACGAAGGAATGACCTGATTAAAGTTGCAACAATCCATTAGATGTTGCCGAGTAGCTAACAGAATTCTAACAGTTGTTGTATTAATCATCATCATCAGGTCATTTAGTCTTTCTTCACTGCAAGAGGACGATCCTCTCTAATTTACTAGAGGCAAATTGGGGACTTGCCATGCTGGCCTGACGGGTTGGGGAGGCCTAATGTTCGCCTATTTTTCCCAAAGTCACCTCCTACGACATCCACTAAAAGAGTGGGTGGTCCTATTCATCTCTTAGTTGTTAAAAATTTACCTCCACAAATCGTAAACATTAAAAACTTGACCTTTGGTTGGTTGGGTTATTATTAGCAGTCAAGCTTTGCTACATAGCTGGCTACACAGGAGTTGCAGCAGTAGGAACGAGAGGTGCGAATATTCCCGTAATTTTCCAGAAGCAAATGGAGGATTTGAACTACACTTCCCACGCTTCCCAGGGTCTTCCTTTCAGGGACTTCCCACGTTGGGCAGGCCTCCTTTATTTGTCTCATAGGACAGCCACGGAAAGTGGGTGGTTCTATTCTGATTGTAGCTGTTATGGTTACCTCTGAATGTGACGGGTTGTGTCTCTGCGCAGGCGACGGTGGTGACGCCACCCGTTGCGTGGTGGATTCCTTCTCGGAGGCGTGAGCGGTCGCACTGCTGCTGCTGGATGAACCTGCGGGTAAAAAAAAAACATTCAAATTCCGGGTAAAACAATGAGGGCTATCGTTTTAGCGTTCACCAGTTAGCGCCACTGTAGAGTAAGGTCCTGTCACTTGCTAGTAGCGAAGACAGTGGCACCAACTGGTGAGCGCGAAAGTGGTAGGAGGACTATCGCATTTGCACTCGTCAAGATGGCGCCACTGTAGAGTAAGGTCCTGTCAATCGCCAGGGGTGCCAACTGTTAAGTATTAAAACGATAGCCCTCATTCCAATTCAAGTTTTTTTATTAGTATGTGGCCTACATATACGTCCCCTACATAACATTGCCATGGTATTTTATACGTCCCAATATTCCTTGCCCTACTACCACTAAGGGACTATATCGGCTAGTCCTGAGAAGAAGTGCCCGAAGAAACTCAATAACCAAAGCCTGAATATAACTTCACATTAGCTTTTGTACGAGTATCCTAATGAAATTAATTTGTTTTGACAAATGTAATTATTTAATGCGATTTTAATGTTATTCCCACTGTTAATGCCAGCATCTAATTAAGCACGTGGTTACATGCTCGTCCGTTGTTTTACACGCCCTTTGTGATGAACTTTCAACAAGTCGTTAAAACAGTGTTAACACTTGATTTATGTAAACATCCTAACAAAACAAAGTTGCATAATTTCTCATTTTTATAATTTTCTTGGCATTTATGCCAATAGAAATTCAATCTAAAATGCAATTTCATTGTTAATACTCAGTTACTCAGAGAGAAAAATGTTTGCTTCTGAATTATTACTGAGACAATATTGTATTCTCTTTTCCGAGAAATAATGAGTGCAGCGTACATCACGAAGTTAAAATCTTTCTATTTTAATACGTAATGTTGCAGGAACATTAAACTTTTCCTTAGAAGCTGATGCGAGAAAAGCAAAACTTTTTAAGTGCAATTTTTTTTTGGAGCCAAATAGGAAATGTAATGTAAACGCATCAACTTGTTGTTTTAATTGAAGTCATAAAAGCAACATGTCTCAGTTAACCCATTAGCCCCCGGGAAAGCCTGTTCATTGATTCTAAGGCGCGTCCTCCACTGACACATCCCGCGTCCCGGCAGTACCTACCTATTATCAGACTTGTTACTTCTGTAGCAATATCACGTTACTGGCACGTGATACAGGTGACGGGCGGTATAGCCGTTAGTGACGTGACTTGTTTCGAGAAGATTGGAAACTATATCCGGGAAATAGGTAAGGTTAAAACGGTTTTAGTTATTTACTAAAAAGTGGACAGGATTTTGTGTCACATTATTGGGTGCCATGCACGAATTTTCAGCAACAGATATAAAAAGAAAGTTTTTCTTTTTTTTTGTCTGACTGTTGTAACCTTTTTGTCCTAGTTCAATCAGTTGTTGTTGAAATAAAAATATTCATCAGAAGGTACAGAGATTTGAAAGTGCGAGTGGAAATAACTCTACTGACAAGAGCAAAGTTTTTAAATTATTAATGACTGACTTTGAGTGTGTGTGGAGCCTTATTTAAATGGCGTCTTACAGTTTATCACGCTCAGCGCATCTTGATTGCGGGCGGTCATCCGGCATTGTTATGGTGCGGCGTGTTTGGCCTAAATCAAAGCCTACATTGGAACTAATTGTTCGGTTAATGGACATTTTGTGGCAACTAACGTCTATAGTTATGGGCGTATGGTATTAATTTGAATATGGCGCATGGTAATATGGATACTATCCTTAGGTTAGCTTAATGTATTAGGATATATTTCTAGGATAGTTTTTACTATTAATTGAGCGTTATAATACAAGAGAGTATCTTATGGTATTGGATTGCTTTTTTTTCTGTGAGAAAACTGAGAAACCCATGAAATACAGCTTATACCTGTATTTATTGTTTTGCAGCCTTGTGCAGAAGTGCTTCTCTCTTTCTTTAGAAGCTACCAGCTCTGCGCACTTGCCCAAAGTAGTATTAATTCGAATGATTAGATACCTAACGTTCAGAAAGTGATGCTGGGACGTGCAAAAAAGCTTCCTAAGATCAACTGTCTTAAAATTAATGTATTAAAGAAGTACAGAAGTGACATCAATAGTTCTAAACTCACTGTTCTCTGCCGGCGGCTGGTGGTGATTCTCGGTGTGCCGGCGCAGCGAGCGCGCGTCGCAGTACGACTTGCCGCAGCCGTCTGCTTTACACTCGTACGGCTTCTTGTTGCGGTGGGTCAGCATGTGGCCATTGCTGCAAGAGAAAGAGTATTAGGCCTGGTTTCTCAAAGCCGAGAGGAGAGATGTGAAATGGTCAGATTTCCGAACCGAAAGTGAGCGGAGAGGTGATGTATAAATAATGAAATCTGATTGGTTATTGAAACACATCTCCTTCCCTCTTCGCTTTGGTGGACATCAGGCCTTAAAGATTGAGACGCACTTGAGCGTCGCTGTACGGCGCGAAATAGAGGGTCAAAATTTTGTATGGTGTTTAGTGCATTAGAGCGGCTCTGTATTAAACGTACCTAGTTGCATGCATGGTAGTGATGTGCAGTGCAGTGACACGTTCCGACCTTGAAAATCGATTAATTAAAAATGAGGCTAAAAACTAAATAATAAACAAGTTCAGTTTTCCGATCAATGAAATCCAAATCCTTGTGCGATACCTAAATAAATAAATAAATCGGTTATGAAGTCAAACGCTAACTAATCTCTGTGCACTGCTGCACTCCGCTTTGACTAGCTAATCGAATGTAAACTATCTGCGCAACTACTCTTTGGTCATACGCGACATATGTTGCGGTGCGAGGTGGCGCTTTAATCGGTGCGGCTCGCACCATGAATATTGATGAGCATCGTCCGCATTGACTGAGCGCAGGGGGGTTACTCCGAAAAACGTTATCCGAAGTTTCGAATGTTGCCATCCCTCTCACGCAAAGCTAGATGCTAGCATGAGCGACGGTGACAGATATACTCGAAACTACATGAGCGTTTCGGAGTCACCCTGCAGTCCGGTGACCCACTTAACTTGAAACCGTTTCTTTATAACCCCAATTAATGTTCTCGTGTATGAGCACGTGCATTTTACTGCAGCACGTTAATGCACATAGAGAATTAATTCCCAACTGTCTATGCTTGCACATTTTGCACAGTTCACAACCGCTGCGCCGATGTTGCTGAAATTTTAACGTGTTTGTTTCCTAGTTCTGGAGAGAAGTAGGAGTTAGCTAAACAATCCTGTGTTGGCATTGTAGCGCTTTTGGTTTTGTGGTTGTACAGTTGAACAATTGATCTGTAGGTTTTGGATTCTATTCTAGCGATGGCGAACAATTTAGTACTCTAGCTATGCAGGCTGAGGTCAAACTGGTTCTCAAATGACCATACTACGTTTGAAAATGACAAAAATAATTTGCCAACATTTTTAAAAATACATACAATTAAGAATAAATAACTTACAGATGGTCCTGTCTTTTGAAAGCTTTCGCGCACGTGATGCAAACGTACTTCCGCTCATCGCTGTGCGTGAGTTTGTGTTTCGCCAGCGCGGACGCGTTACCGAAGATCTTATTGCACACCTGGAACAAAAGATATGCATTAAAGTATTAATTAAACACATCTATGTACAGTTGAAAGCACATTGGACTACTACTAATTCTTTGTTGCAATAACATGAAACTATACAGTGTGTGTACTATAGTGGAGGAGGCTCACAGTCCAGCAGTGGACTGTAAAGGGCTGTTGATGATAATGATGATACAGTGTGTGCTTTAAAGTGCTAAGGCTGCTTCTTCTCAGCACTGGCCCATTTATTGTCCCGAAGCAGTGGTAGGGTTAATATTGGGACGTGTAAAAGCGCTTTTTTAAAGCCTATTTGCAAAAATAAATGAATTTTATGAATTTTTATTTTAAAAAATTATAGGGGTTCCATAATATTAGCACCAAGTTTAATATTATTTTAAATAAAAAGAAGAAAACATTGTTTATGAAATGAAGGGCTTCACGAATAGCAACCAGACTTTCAAAGTGACCTCTAGTTACCTTTTGTGAGAACATTTATTTATCAACTTAATTAACTTGAAATCCAACAGCTTTTGTATTGCGAATTGAATATACAAACATTAAACGGCTCAAATAATTTTGCGTGTTCTCAAGAATCCATTAGTCAAAACAACTCCACAAAGGTACGTGCGATTATTGTGCCAAGTTAAGTTTGAAAAAGTCCTCGCAAACATGGCTGACTTGCGCCTTTTGAAGTCCGCGAGCAGGGATAATTAAAATGAAGGGCAACTCAATATTTGGCTGTAATAAGACAACAATAGGACTGAGAGGTCTCCGCGCGAGATGGCCAAAGGAGCCTGCACGCTTAGCCGCATGACGCTTTCAATTATGGAGTGACACGCTCCCTCCAATTAAAAAAGATAAAAAGTTTAAAAATAGCAGCGGGAACACTTGAGTGATATTTTTGCAGTAAAATACGTTAATTGACTAGTGTCGTGTTTTCTATACTTATTGATTTTTTGAATATCAACAAAGTTCAAAACTTAAAAAAGTCTTCATAAATGGTATTATGACTATTATGTTTCTTGCTAGCGTTTGTATGTTTTTTTGAATATCAACAAAGTTCAAAATTTAAAAAAGTCTTCATAAATGGTATTATGACTATTAAGTATCTTGCTAGCGTTTGTATACTGGTATTAGGTTTGACGAAGCTTTCAGTTCATGAACTGAAGTTATGGCTCGATCTTACTTGTCTGAATGATTTGCAGCTGGCTAGAGTTCGCGGAACTCTACCAAGTGTGCACGATCCTTCACGGCGTTTGTTCCTCATATAATTAAGTGGCCATTTCGCTGCCCTGTTTTTATTTCAGATCGCCGTCCGCTGGTGTATTTACGAAGACGTGTATTGTTTCACGGTACCGCGTGTAATGTGCACGTAATCGTATTTATTTATTTTTTTATTTCATGTATAGTATCAAAATTGAGGATAGAACAATAAAATCGTTCATTAGACTAATAGTTGATGCCGGTTGGTATATTCTATTATGGTATAAAATCATTTTCTATTTTTTTAACCGTGGCGGGGTTGATTTCCCGGCGATAAAATTGTATACAGCAACCGCATAATAGCCGGCACTCCTTTTGTAAGACAACAAAAGGCGTTGGTACCTGTGTTGCAAGTAGAGATGGGTAAGTGCTAATAATCCGATTAATAGCAATTGGCTAGTAACGGATTAAAAGCAGTTATTAGCCATTAATAGCCAATAATAGCCGATTTCAGATGGTAACCCTGCTATTAATGTTATACTAATGATTAAACATATCCCTTCATAGTTTACAAATTTAGCACTTGAAATTTGGAAGGGACGTAGCTTAGGTACCGTAGAGGTGCATTAAGAAAGGAATACCCGAAATTCCCACGGGCACGGGAATTAGCGGGAAAATCCTTTTGTATGAAAANATCAACGCACAGCCTAAACGGCTAAACGTATGCACTTGAAATTTGGAAGGGACGTAGCTTAGGTACCGTAGAGGTGCACTAAGAAAGGACTGTACTAGCGGCCGCCCGCGACTTCGTACGCGTGGATCCCGTTTTACCCCCTTCATCTATCTTTCGCGGTTTAGATTTTGTCATACAAATGTTTTTTCCTAACTCCCGTTCCCGTGGGAATTTTGGAAAATCCTGTTGTAACTAAGCTTTAAGTTTACTAAGGTACCTGCATGCCAAATTTCAAGCGTCTAACTTAAGCGGTTTAGATTTTTCATACAAAAGCATTTTCCCGCCAATTCCCGTTCCCGTGGGAATTTCGGGAATTCCTTGTTGTAACTAAGCTTTCAGTGTACTAAGGTATCTATATGCCAAATTTCAAGCGTGTAACTTAAGCGGTTTACTTTTTTCATACAAAAGGATTTTCCAGCTAATTCCCAATACCGTGGGAATTTCGGGAATTCCTTGTTGTAACTAAGCTTTATGTTTACTAATGTACCTACATGCCAAATTTGAAGCGTCTGACTTAAGCGGTTTAGATTTTTCATACAAAAGGATTTTCCCGGTAATTCCCGTTCCTGTGGGAATTTCGGGAATTCCTTGTTGTAACTAAGGTTTAAGTTCACTAATGTACCTACATGCCAGATTTCAAGCGTCTAACTTAAGCGGTTTAGATTTTTCATACAAAAGGATTTTCCCGCTAATTCCCGTTCCCGTGGGAATTTCGGGAATTCCTTGTTGTAACTAAGGTTTAAGTTCACTAATGTACCTACATGCCAGATTTCAAGCGTCTAACTTAAGCGGTTTAGATTTTTCATACAAAAGGATTTTCCCGCTAATTCCCGTTCCCTTGGTAATTTTGGTAATTCCTTTCTTAGTGCACCTCTACGGTATTTAAGCTACGTCCCTTCCAAATTTCAAGTGCCTACGTTTAGCCGTTTAGGCTGTGCGTTGATTTGTCACTAAGTCGGTCAGTTTCTCCTTTTATATATTTAGATTATTTTTAACTACAATGTCGTTTATATAAATGACATTGATGTTTTTTAATATTTTAGTTATTTTTTGTTTCTTTGAGTAATATTTGATTTTAATATTGATTTGATTTTAAAGGTGGAAGAAAAAACGTAAGAAACTATTAATAGCAGGGTTACTAGCCAATGGATGGCTAATAATGGCTATTAATAGATAATAATCAGTTATTATCCAAACTAGCTGGCTACAAACCCATCTCTAGTTGCAAGTAATTGATTATATCAACGGGCACATAGTGCGGTAAAGTTTAGTAGGTATGTTTTGAACAAACAGGTGAAAAAATTGTAACTAATTAGATAAAGGGCTGACTGCGAGCAAAAATATTCGTTATTCGTTTTCCAAAGAAAACCATTAATTACAATTTCAGAGGTTTTGTTAGGTTTCAATACCGCTTTTTAGCACCAATATCATCCTCAAATTACTGACTCCACAAAAGATATAACGTGAAAAATAAAATGTATGTTGCCAACAAAGGCTTTTTTTGTGTATGGTCTGTTTCTCTAATTAATATTGTGTAGGTATCTTTTTCTTGATTAAAGGATTCGAATTCGAAGGATTGATGAATGCTGCTGACAACGCAACTCTTGTAGCGGAGTTTTGGGATGACACTGTGTAGGTTTGTTGTCGACACGATAAGAAGAAGAAGAAGAAAGAATTCGAAAAAGAATTGAGATCTTTCGTGACCTCAATTTTTCAATAACTTTTTCATTATGATCGATTGTAGAGTGAAATGCATACATTTTTAGTGCAAAAGCGCATGTCTATCACAAAGTTCTGTTTGAGCTGTCCTTGTAGGCCTTTCTGATCGCCCTAACATTGTGGCGGAGACGTTATCGATAGTCCAGCATCATTGTTCCCTGGAGGCCCAGGGGACTGTTTTCGAAGGTATTGTAGTGGCGACCCGGTTAATGATTAATTCGAAACGTCGCAAAGTGGACCTTTTGAGGGTCGCTTGTTTTGAGATGGACATGAAAATGTAATCATGTGATGGGGTTCGGTAAAATTACCTATAGAAGCTTATAGATGTTCTAGAAAGCATAATTTTGTTAGTAAACCAATGATATTAAAATTTCTAGGTAGGTAGGTAGGTAGGTATATATAGCGAATAATTAATCTCATTAGTTATTAACAGTATTGAAAAATATTGAATGGAAGTTTTAAACAGTTTGACATAAAGAAAACTGAATATTTGCAAGGACAAAATATGGCAAAAGTGAATCGGATATTACTAATTAAGCCACTACTATCCACTGTGTCTACATTAAGCATCTGGGAGGATTGCCGTCACTGCTTAAACCTACAAAACGGAATTAGAATTTGCAGCCGTAAAAATAATATTTATCATAACAATCCTGCATCAGCCGCAAGGAAAGCGCAATAATCGACAAGGACCGCCTGTTATCGCCTGCACGAGAACTTGGGAAACCATAATTCCTCTCATTACAAGCAACTCCGCCACAAATCTACATTGGCAGGGAATAAAGGCTGTGTGCGGTTATTCCCTATAGAGACGGGGAAACACCCATGCCTCTACTAGTGTTGGGACCTCGATGGCTTAAACCACAAGAAACATTTTAAACCAAGAAAGTTCTTTCTTCCGTCCGTACGATAGTGCACGAAAAAACATGCAACTAGCTTATTCACACTAAGGCTGAGTTGCACCAACTTACTTCAACCACTTTAACCGTAATTTTGACAATAACCGGTGCTTTTTGTATGGAGTTTGACAGATTTTTGACGTTAGTTAAAGTCAAAGTAAGGTTTTTTTTTTAAAATCAACTCAAGAAACAAGTACAGTTGGTTAAACTTGGTTGTTTCCCTTTCACAAATACGACCGATGGTATAAATGCGATTTGTAAACAAACATTTTTGATCTATTGGTACATTACCATTCTTCATTCCTGAACATTACCGAAAAACATACTAATGATAGTGAGGGATTTTATCGATAGCGATAACTACAACAAGCACAACACTAGCTGACCCATACACACAAAAGCACTCTCCCCGTGAATGATTTCGGAACTGCCAGGGATATCCATAGAGTATAAAAGACATCTAAAAA